AGTCCTCGGTAACAAGCGAGACCTAGCGGGAGCGCTAGATGAGAAGGAGCTGATTGAGAAAATGTAAGCTGGGGTGGCCTTTCTTTGTGTGCTTCAGCTCCCCAAATACCCCAGCTGACGAACACGTCTGGGCTGGGCCGATTGCTATTCTCAGTGTTCACCACATGGTGGCAGCAAAACACATCTTTCCAGGAGCCTCGCCCTCCTCTTTGACCAAGAAAAAGACCCTGCCTTCCCCCAGCCCATACCCCTTGGCTGCCCCAGCCTCTGCAGATTCTGCTCTGATCTCCCCCGCAGGAATCTGTCTGCTATCCAGGACCGAGAGATCTGCTGCTACTCCATCTCCTGCAAGGAGAAAGACAACATAGGTGCGTGGCTTGGGGAAGTTGTTAGCACTCTACCAGGAGTGGCCTTGCAGAAGGGAGAAGAGAGGAGAGGGCTACTTCCGGTGTGGTAGCATAGGGCTCTGGAAAGTTCCTGCCCTGCCACTTATCTTTAGTCCTGGGGTGCAGCGGGCAGCTCGGAGGCCCAGTTCTGAACTTTGCCTCAGTTCTATGTTCCAAGAGGAACCACCCACTCACTCTTGTACTTCTGAGATTATCATAGGTTGAGCCAGGTATTCCAGGCCCTTCTGCTGAGCTTGCTGGGCTTTGTGTCTTTCCCATCACAGTCGGGAGCTGTTACAGGGGTCACAGCTCTTGGCTTGATCCTGGCTGCAGTCTCAGGAACCGGGATTAACTGTTTATGCCTCTCAGGCCTTATGGGCTGCTGCAGGATGCTGCAGGCAGCAGGCCTGATGACCTTCTCTCTTGTCTCACTCAGACATCACCCTACAGTGGCTTATTCAACACTCAAAGTCACGGAGAAGCTGAGACTGTGGCTCTTCTCCTTCGGACCAGGGACCACAGTCACCTAACCTGAAGCCGAGCTCCCCGCCCACCGATGTCTCCCCCAAACCCACTGCTCCTCACCCAGTGTGGGGAGGGCCCTCTGGGGCTCCTAGAGTCCCATTCTGCTGAGGTTTGAACTCCTGTTTTTATTGTAAAATAAATCCCCCCCCATCTGCTCCCCTAACCTCTCTCTTTTTCTCTTTGTCCCTCCCTCCCCTCCCAACAGCCCTGGCCCCGCAACCCCTGTCCTCACTTTCTGTCCCACCCTCTACCTCCCTTTTCAACACCTCTGTTATTGTCCTGTGTGTACAGTATATATATGTATATATATTTTAATTTTTTAATTTAAGCAAAGACTTAAGATCAACCATTTGATGCTGCAGGGGCCAATCAGGACCTGGGAGGGGCAAACTGGAAAGATGGGAAGAGATGCAGGGTCAACTTGGGGCAAGTTCAGATGCAAAAAGGTGGTCACTGGCTGGCACTTGGGGCATGTACCAGCCTGGCCACTGGTGATTGTCCCCATGTCCTGTAAAATATTTCTGTCTCCCAGTAAAGGGCCTGAATACTCAGGCCGGCAGGAGCCTCCTTTCTGTCCCCAGCCTTGGTAGGGCCACCAGGCACAACCAGGTAGCAGAGACCACCAGGCCTAAGAGGGAGGAAGCCAGTGTCCATGCCATCCAAGCGACCCCCGTCCTCACTATTCCCAGCCCCAGCTCCTGCCTCTACCCAGGGCCTCCACCTCCATGGCCCATTTCATTTTCTGTTCTCATCTCACCGAGTTGTACAAGGAGAGAACTCAGCATGGGGGGTTGGTTCTTTGGGTTTTTTTTTGTTTGTTTGTTTAATTTAATGATTTGTAAAGTGATGTTCCTCTTCCTTTTTACACTTTCCAGCTCATATTTAACCTCTGTTTGGAAAATGATTCTTGTAACTGTACATTTTTTTTTTGCCTCCTAATAATGACAATAATAAATTACCAATTTTGTGTTGGGGGCGTGTGTGGTGCTGGGTGTTTGCCACTGACCAGCAGACTCACAGGGACAGCAGTGCCCATCTCACAGGGAAGGCCACGGGGTGCCACACCCACAGGAAACACGTGCTCACACTGGCAGCACAATGGCCTGTCACAAAACAGCCTCCCACACGTGTCTGGGCTCTGGTGCCGCCTGCTCCTCATTCTCTTCGGCCTCGTGTAAGCTGGCAGCTGCCAAGCGGTACTTAGCAGGTAGTCAGAGGAACTACTCAGACCTGGCCCATGCTTCACTGTTCAAATAGAACTGCTGTTTCTCGACAGCTACTTCAATCTGTGGCCCCTCTCCATCCATGCCTGCTTGGTCCCCATAGCCAGAGTTGAGCCAGAGCCAGAATTCTGCCTCTACCCCTTCATTCCTAGTTCCCACTAGGAAGAAGTCAAATGTCCTCCAGGGGTATACTGGGCCTGTGGAGTCTCCTTTGCTATCTTAGGTTCAGGGCTCTTGGAAAGGACCAACCATTACTCTATGGATGGAACTCCTACCCTGCCTAACAGGAGCCCACAGCCCCAGTGCCTGTGGGCCCTCCTTGGTTCAGTGTGGATCCAATCCTATTTAGTTTTACACTCAACTCTCAGACATCCCCCCCCCCGCCCCCCCACTCCCTCGTCAGCCTGGACAATAGATAGAATGCCCAATCTCTTTTCACCCTACCTCAGCAGCCACCTTTGTCTTTGGTTTGTGAGAGGCCTTGGGCTAGGCCACTCTCCAACCACGAGGAGGATTTCCTATTGCTGAGGGACTTTGAGGAACGGGTCTGAGAATTGAGCTCAGTGGCAGAGTGCTGATCTAGTGTGCAATAGACCAGGCCCTGGCTTCCATTGACCGTGTGGGGAGAAGGTTTGAGAATGGAATTTGCCACCAGCTAACTGATTCCCAGGAGTCTTCCTCCTCCTTAAGAGTATGAGGTGTGCCCCTTGGTTAAGGATGATGGTGGCCCAGGCTCTGTCCCCTGCCCTGCATCTAGGAGAGGACCACTGTCCTCATTCATGGGAATGTTTCAACGCTGACCTGCTTCTTGGGTTCTGTGTTCTCCAGATGAGGTTTTTGTGAGAGAAGACAAGCTGATTATTAGGACATGCAAAACCATTGCCCTGCACCGGGAACTCCTGCAACAGATATGCAGCAGGGCCCAAACCATGCAGCGGATATGCAGCAGGGCCCAAACCATGCAGCGGATATGCAGCAGGGCCCAAACCATGCAGCGGATATGCAGCGGGGCCCAAGCCACCTCTTCCTTGAATGGGGACAAGCCATGTAAACCATCGTGTTTGGGTTCTCTGATGTCAAACGAATGAGTTCATACCTGACCAAGGGACTAGAGAGGTGGCTCAGAGTTAAAGAACACGTACTGCTCTTGTAGAGGACATTGGCTCCTAGCACCCACATCAGGTGGTTCCAGAAAGAGCTAACACTTCTGACCTTTCTGGCTCTGAACCCCTGCCCACATAACCCAGCACAGATGGACACACACAGACAATTAAAAATTATAAAAAAAAAATATTTAAAAACACCTGACTAAGTCCACTCTATATTGCTCAAGATCTGGATTCCCAAAAGCATGGAGCCTTGCACTCTGCCAGATGCTTAAGCCCCACCCCATCTCCCAACCCCCCTTTTTAGTGGTGGAGGTGGAGCCCAGGACCTTGAACATCCTAGGCAAGCAGTCTGCTGCTGGTCTCCAGCTCCAGCACAGAGCATGTCTGGCCTCATTTAACGATCACAGGCCTCTGTGAAGGACTGATTGTTCTGTTTCCCAGAGTGGGGAGTGGAGACAGGTACACTCAAGGGTTAGAGCTGAGCTAGGATGAAGATACGCAGTGGGGGCCTAGCAGAGGACACCCCCCACTGGCCTCAGGCTCTGACGACTGTCCTACTATGGATGTCAGCATCTCTCTCTGAGCCTCACAGCTCAAGTCCATTGCCCACCCTTGAGCCAGCCACCCCACCCCCTTAGCCTGGGACCCCAGAGCAACAAATCCCACATTGTTCCCTGGCTGGCACAGACTGGAGGGACAGTGGCTCTTTCCCAAGGCTGGCTAGTCTGCCGGCTAGTTTTGCAAGCCATTCACGTTAGCAGGCTTGGAAAGCGGCAGCAGGGTAGGGTCTAGGAGCCACCATCTCTCCCCTTGAGCTCTGGGCCAGCCAGCGGGCAGGAGGGAGGTCCAAAGTGTGCCCTTTGTGGAAGAGGCCACCAAACAGGATGCTGAACCACCACCACCCCTCCAAGCCTTCCACCCACAGTCCTCTCCCTGCCCCTGATTTCACCTCAGATCACCCTGGCCCACTTCCTCCCCCCTTAGAAAGTTATTGGTGCGTGCAGGAGGGGGTGGAGGGAGGAGTTGGGAAAGCACCCCCTTTCTGGTTCTGCTCAGAGACAAGGGTCCACTTTGCTCCCTGTCCAACTAACGCATACACACACACACACACACACAGTTTCTAAAGAAAAAGCTGGAGACTGGTCACTGTAGCAACAGGTCTGCCGAGAAATGGGTGGGTGTCATTCTCCAGCACAAAGGGTGTGTGCGCAGGGCAGTTCCATCACTTAGCAACAGCCTCCCTCTCTCTTGGCCAGCATCACTGGCCCTGGGGGGGTGGGTGGGGATGGGTGCCAGGGATCAAGAACAAGGCTGTTCAGATTCCAAGTAAGTGGGGAGGGAGACTTGGATGCTGAGTGGACCAAGGCCCAAGGGAATGGGTGCCTGGGCAAAGAAGAATAGAGTTGGGCCGCTCATGACCCCATGCCCTTGGGGACCTAAGCTGGTAGAGGTTCTAGGTTGGCCTGACGAGCAAGTCTTTGTGGAACCCAGAACTGAGCTCCAGATAAGTGTGGCTGCAGAGAAAGCTGGGCATGGGGGAAAGGAATGCCAGTGGCCTAGGCTGATAACCCACCCAGCAGAGAGAGGGGGCCTCAGGGGCAGAGCTGGGGAAATGACTTAAAGGGCAGGCCCAGTAGGAGGCGCTACTGGCTGTGCTGGGAACTACTGTAGAACTCTGCTGGGAAGGGTGGGGGCGGGGGGGGGGGGGGAGGCAGTGCGGGTAGGCAGCTGGGCCATCTCAGAGCCAAACAGTCCATTCTAAGAAACTGAACAAGAGCAACTGTTAGAGGGAGGGAGGCTGAGAAGCTCTGTGGCCCACGAAAGGAAAGCCCCTGGATTCCCTCAAATGGGGGCTTTGTGGAGAGGGCAAACTGAGCGACGCAGGGACTCCAGAGAGCGGGCTGACTTCCCAGGGGCAGCTGGGTTTCGCTCTAGATAAGGGTTTAGCCCCCCAATTCCTGACACCTTCCCTCCTCTCTGTCCCCAAGGCAGGACAACAAATACAGGCCCAGGCCAAGGAGACTGCCCGGTTAGGAAAAGCCTGTCTACCTGTCTAGGTTCTGTCTCTCATGGACAAGGAAGCTCACTGGGCACAGGGCTGTGGTACCTACTTTATTGTTTTTCCAGAATGGCCTTCTACAGGAAAGCGCCTAACAGGAGGCGGGGCTATATGACATGAGATGTGCCAGGCGCCTCACAGAATGGAGAACAGGAGTGAGAGGATCCTCTGGGAAGACTGGGGGCTAAAACAGACCCTCTTTAGAGGACGGGGTGCCGAACCTGCTTAGGTTGGCCCTCAAGCGGCCCCTGGTCCAGGATGGGGCCTAGTGGGAGTAGAGAAGTGATGTTTGGGGAGGGGCTCAGCCAACCTATAGTCGGATGGGTTCCAAGATCAAAGGGAGGGCGGGCCAAGGGCTAAGCCCAGGCTTGAAGATGGCCAGATTGAGATTCTAGGCAGCTCTAATGACCTGGAGAGATCTCCACCTACAAGTGGGAGGGACAAGGCTGACAGGTCCCTCAGAGCATTAAGATTGGCACTGTCTTCCCATAGGGCTTTGGCAAGCCCAACTTTGACTCAGTGAGCCAAGTCCATCTCTACACAGCAGGATGAGAAGTCAAAGTGAGACCTGTAAGAAAGAACCAGCAGACCGTCTTGAGTGGGATGGCACCCCTCCCCACCTACTCCCATGCCCCCCTAGACTCAGCAAGGTGTGCCCAGGGGCAGGAGTGGGGGTGACTCCCTGGGCTTATGGAAGTAAATGGAGGAGGACACTTCGGTCTTAAGCTTGCTGTCCGCACCGCCTGTTGCCGAAGAGTCTGAGGCCCCGCCGCACTCCTCACAGCAGCAGCAACAGCAGCAATCCAGGAAGGCCTGGCCCAGGGGCCTGCAGATACACAGGAGGAGCACGGGGGTGATGGCGCCCTTGAAGAAGGCGGAGAACTGGTTGATGAGGCCCAGGAGGTCCAGGGTCTGCCGGGTGAGCTCGGTGGAGAGGTAGGCCACCACGATATTGCAGACGTTCTCAGGGAGTGTACAAAAGGCATAGACCACGGTCAGGCCCACCACAGTGCTGTTGAGCTGGCTCTCACACTGCTCGTGCTTGCCTGCCCTACACTCGGGCTTCCTGCCCGGCGGGCCCCGCACCCGCCATGTCACCAGCTGGCAGGTGACGGTGAAGAGGATGGGCAGACAGAAGTAGCAGCCAAAGTACCACCACATGCGAGCATTCTGGTAGGTCATCACCAGCGAGTAGATGGACTCGGGTAGGTTGGCTGAAGGTTTCATGATACACGAGTCCACTGTCCCCATGGTGGGAGCAGGCTCTTGTGCCAGCTGCCACAGCAGGAGTTCAGGCACAGCCAGCATCATGGAGCCCACCCAGATGACAGCCAGTTTAGCCAGGATTGATTGGCATCGCTCAATGGGCCTCACCTTCGGCAGGGTGCTGGTGGCCACGTGGAAGCGGTCTATGCCCAGAGCACAGAGGCTAAAGGTTGTGACTCCCAGGGAGGAGACCTGCGAACAAGGATGTAGAAGACAGAGGGCTCAGCTGATGGGGGCAAAGAGGGTTCAGGCTGAAGAGGAGCATGGGTTACACATGAAAAGCATGACAATGGCTGCTATTGGTGAAACATTTTCTACCCATCAGGCACTCCCTATAGGACATAAACTCTCAACTGTGCCCCGCTGGGGTCAATACACACATATAATCCTAGAAGTCTAATCAGCCATCATACAGGAGAAATGGATGCAGAGGAGTAAAAACTGACTTGTCCTCAACCACACGGCTGATGAATGGTAAATCCAGGGTGGGTACACATCCCTTGTTTGTTTTTCCACTTCCCAAGCTAGAATGTTCTAGGCCTCCCTCCCATAGACCCTGATGCCCCACAGGACACTGGAAGCCACCTCTGAGGAAGAACCAGCACAAAGACGAAAACTGGGCTTAGCCTGGGCGCGGCGGTGAGTGTCTGTTGTCCCAGAACTCGACAGACAGAGGCAGGAGGATCAGGAGTTCAAACTTGGCCGTACAAAAAGTTCAAGGCTAGTCTGAGACGTACAAGACCCTGTCTCCAAACAGAAGGAAGGAAGTGGGGAGGGAGGGAAAGAAGGAATGGACAAATTTGGATCTTTGCAGTTCCTTCTCCTTCCCGCACAGGCTCGTGTGAGATCTTCGGGTTATGCCAGAATGTTGCTTCCAGCCTGCCTGTGTTGACCTGGGCAGACCAACATTGTGGGGAGCAGCCCCTGCAAGCAGCCTGCGCCCACCATCCTTGTGCACTGTTTATCAGGCAGCACCCAGAAAAAGCACCCGTTGGGCCAAGAGGAAGAGGCCAGAGCCGCAGGGAAGGAAGTGCCAACTCGCCTGAAAGGAGAGCCCCCTGAGCTGCTAGCTGATGGAACTCACTGGGGGTTGTGCTCCCCCCTCCTCCTCCTGCTTAAATTCTTCCCTTCTCTGGCTGGGGCGACACAACCCAGGGCTTATTTGCACTGCCACCAAGTGTCCTTTGTAAGAACCCCAACCCCCTCTCTTGGCAGGGACTCCAGGCCCGCAGAGGAGCAGCCTCCAGTCTCTGGCAAAATATCATTCTCTCTCTCTCTCTCCTCTCCCACTCTCAGAAACTTTTCCAAATCTTACCAAGGGGCCATGCTGGGGTCTTCCCTACAGGAGAATTCTGGGCAGCAGCAGAGGCTTATAGCCACGGGCAAGAGCTCCAGTGTGTCTGACCCCTTCCCTCTTCTCCTAAAGCTAAGCTCAAATAAAAGCCAACATGGTCTACATTAATTCTAGGCACTTCGTGGACATTACCCATTTTAGTCCTTTAAGAATGGGGACTAGCCAGCTGTAGTGACACACGCCTGTATCCTAGCACTCAGGGAGACCAGGAGATCAAGATCATCCTCCATTACTTAGTGAATTTGGGGCCAGCTGGAGCTATGGAAAACCCTGTCTAAAAAAATGAAAACAGGAAGAAAGGAAGGAAAGGAAGATTCGGAGCTAAACTTTGGGTGACTGGGTGTGATGGCTCATGTCTGTCAATCCAGCACTCGAAGCTGAGACTACACCATCAGGAGTTCAGGGTCATCTTTGGCAAAGTAGCAAATTTGAGGTCAGCCTGGGCTACATAAGAGCCTTTCTAAAATAATAAAATAGAAGCCGGGCAGTGGGTGGCACACACCTTTAATCCCAGCACTCAGGAGAACTCTGTGAGTTCAAGTTCAACCTGGTCTACAGAACGAGTTTCAGGACAGGCTCCAAAGCTACAGAGAAACTCTGTCTCAAAAAACCATTTTTTTTTTTTTTGATAGCACTAAAACACTAACACTAATTGAGGCTGGCTGCTGAGCATGGCTATTCAGGTCTACAAAACCTCAACCAATTGGGTGGCTCAGGCAGAAGAATCATGAACTCAAGGCCTCCCTAGACTACAGAGAAAGTTCAAGTCGAGCTCGAGCAGCTTAGTCAGAACCTGTCTCAAAAGTAATAAAAAGAGAACTGGCAATATAGCTCAGTAGTAGTGGTAGAGTACTGACCTAGCATGCACAGGCCTGGAGTTCAATCCCATGGCTAAAAAGGGGGCGGGGGTAGCAGCCGGAGGTATAACTCAGCAGTCGAATGCTTGCTTATGTGGAAAGCCAAAGTATGTGGAAAGTACTGAGCAAAAGAAAAATAGCTAGATATTGTGGCACATACTTACATCCCCAGCCCTTTGGAGGAAGAGGTAGGAAGATGGCCATTAGCCTGAATCTGGACTACAGATGTAGGTAAGAACTAGGTCAGCCAGGGTTACAATGGGAAACCCAGTCTCAAAACAACAGCGAAAAGAGTGAAAAGCTTTGGGGCTCCAAGTGCACATGATTAGTACATGTGAAGCCCTAGGTTTATCCACAGCTCCTTCAGACAGTTATCACCACAGATGAGAACACCGAGCTGTAGGCAGGTTAACTAACTTACCCAGGCTGCTTGGCCAGTCATGAAAAGAGCCCAGTTTCTAATATACTCTGTCTGATTCCAAAACCATGTGTTGGCCCAGCACAGTGGGGCCCTTATTTTCAAACGCAGGAGGCAGAGGCAGGCAGATCTCTGTGAGTTCTTGACCAGCCTGGTTTACATGATGAGTTCTAGGTTTACATGGTGAGAGCCTATCTAAAACAAAACCAACCAACAAAAACGCCACACAAAGCTTGTGTGCCTAACCACTTAGCTCACCTAGGCAGTGTGTACCAGGTGACAGATAAGGCTTAAAGACCAACGTCGGGCGTAGAGGCACACACCTTTAGTCCGAGCACTCAGGAGGCAGAGACAGGTGGATCTCGTGAGTTTGAGGCCAGCCTGGTCTACATACCAAGTTCCAGGCTGGGATGCACCACATAATGAGATTTGTTTACCAAACAACAAGAAGACACAAAGATCACATTGAATTTTGGGGGTCTCTTTTAATCTGAGAGGCTTTTGGACCACTAGATAGATGGTGTGCATGGGTTGGGAGTACAGGAAACAAACCATTTCAACTGCTATGCCTCACAGAGTGACCAGTATTGAAATAATCCCTAAAATGCAGCTAACTGGGGGCTTGGAACTTTGTCAAATGCCTGGCTCTGATTCCAGCTCATAGGGAGGCTATTATTCCCTTCATCATTTCCCTTGTAGCTAAGGTTCTTTTATTTATTTTTAAATGTGTTTATTTTACTTATGTGAATGATTGTGTCTGCCTGCGTGTATGTAAACATACCGCGTGTGTGCCCTGTACCCATGAAATTCAGAAGTGGGCATCAGATCCTTTGCAACTGGAGTTAGGGATGATTGTGAACCACTGTGTGGGTACTGGTAACCAAACCCAGGTTCTCTGGACGAGCAGCCAGTGCTCCTAACTCCCGAACCACCTCTCCAGCCCCCTGTAGCCGTGAATTAAAACTGTTCCCACCGAATGTGTTGGTGTGTGCTTTAGTCCCAACACTGAGGAAAAAGCAAGAGGTTTTCTGTGAGTTTGAGGTCAGACTGGTCTACATACTGAGTTCCCAAACAGCCAAGACTATATAGAAAACCCTGTCTCAAAGAGAGAGAAAGAGAAGGCTGTTCCTGCCAATTGTGACAGTACAGGCCTGTAATCTCACCAATCAGGAGACTGAATCAGGAATATTGTGAGTTTAATTGTAAACCACCCTGGACTATATAGTGAAATCCTATCTAACAAAAAAAGGGGGATGTAGTAATACAGGCCCATAATCTCAGCACTTTAGAGTAGAAATAAGATCAGGAGTTTAAGGTCATCCTTAATTACATAGTAAGTTTGAAACTAGCCTGAGCTATAGGAGATCTTGTCTCAACCAAACCAAAACACACACACACACACACACACACACACACACACACACACAAATAAATAAATAAATAACACTAGGCCGAGGCAGAGAATCACTGCAAATTTAAGGCAGGCTTGGTCTATACAGTGAGTTCCACAGCAACCTGAGGTACAGAGTAAGACCCTGCCCTTAAAAAGATAAAAAGGACAAGAAAGAGAGAACATTTAAAAACTAGAAATGAATAAAAACAAAGGAAAGCTGCTATCATAGATACAGAAACCTTCACACATGGATAGATATGTGCAAAGATCTGAAAGTTGTCTCCTTGTGATCTACACAGCCATTCTCATCTAGGTGTTTAACATAACACGGAAGCCCCCATTCAGGGGTGCTCAGTGCTGCTACACTTTAGAGATGCAGAGCAAGCCAGTTAGAAGGGCCATCTGGTCTACCCTCCATGCTTGCTAGCTAAGGAAATAAGGAGAGATGGGATCTGTCCAGGGACAAGCAAAATATAGTCACAGAACTAGTGCTTCTATAAGCTCTAGTACCCAAAGGCGGGGCTTGCCTTTCAGAGCTGCCTTAGGAGGAGAGTGGCTGAGATGACCTTGAAGGTGACGATAAACTTGGTCAGGAGGGAAGAAGAGCCTGTCCTGGTGTTTGCATCCACAGGGAGTAGACACTGACTCAACCTGGTAGGAAACTGGCGTCTCCCTCAAATATTGCTAGGTTTTTGGGATACAGAAGGGTTAAAAAGAGGAGCCATGGGTGCAGGGCAAGCAGGAGGCACAATAAAAGAAAAGGGGAGGTCGGCAGACAGTGGCAGTGTCTTTAATCTGAGTGCTTTAATCCCAGCACTCAGGAGGCAGAGGGTGGAGGATCTGTGAGTTCAAGGCCAGCCTGGTCTACCAAGCAAGTTCCAGGACAGGCTCCAAAACTACACAGAGAAAGAGGGGGGGAGGGGAACCTCAGAAGAGAGAGGGATTTTTTGGGTGGATCAGAGACAGACAGCTTGGAATATAGAAAAAAGGGTGTGGCCTCTGTGTGGTTACTTCTAAAGCAGAAGCCCAGGTTGGACTCAAGCCAGTGGTCTTGCACATCTGCCTGTCTGCCTATTCACTGGCCTGACTTTCTTTCCTGAGAGCTACCAGAAGCCAATACTGAGTTTGTTCCCTTCCCTGATAGAGCTTGCCTCCCCCCACAGTGACACAGAGAAAACTAGTTGAGTGGGAACCCCAGAGTGCTGGGATTACACACACTGCAGATCTGCTCTCTGGGTCTCAGCAGGGACTGGAGCCCCTTCCCTGAACTACAAGCCTACAACTGAGCTATAGAAAGACATACTTACCTCCATGAAGGGCACAGCCCGGCAAGAAACATCCCCCAGGAGCCTCTGCTTGGTGATCTCGTTGAAGATGACAATGGGGAGGCAGAAGAAGAGGACCAGGAAATCCCAGAGAGCCAGGCTGGCGAGGATGGAGTTCCATGCACTCTTCAGATAGTAGCTGTGCCACACAATACACATGACAGACAGATTGCCTACGATACCCACAGCAAACACCACCAGAGCCAGGAGCATGACAGCGTAGGCACTGTAGGAGCTCTCAGTCACCGGATACAAGGGGTTCTGAATCTGCAGCCTCTGACTTGGTGTCCCGGTCAAGTTGGCCCTCAGCTCTTGTCCACTATCTGGGGTGGCCCCATCCTTGTCTGGGTTGGGGCTAGTGGCCACCAAAGTCTTGGTGGGCTGCAAGCCAGCAGGATGGATGGGCCTGGGGTACTCAGCCCACTCCTCAGGTACATAGTGTTGTACCTCCTTGGGCCCCTCGTCCTTGGTGCCTCTTCGGGGTCGACTCTGCTGCTCCTGGACCTTCGCTCTATGCCCACCCAAAGATGAGTTGGCAGCCCCAGAGACCCCAGTCAGCCCCACAGCCAACGCTACAGCAAGAGAGACAGCCAGGGGCCACAGCCACCGCATGGCCGGGAAAGCAGGGTGTAGCTGCCTCAGAGAGGTGAGGGCAAGAGACCTAAGGGCTGCGTGGAATTAAAAGAGGCAGCTGGCAGCTGGGTCCGCCTCCAGTCAGGCGTCTGGCATGGCTGGCCCTTCCTCCCATCCCGTTGGCCATGGTCTGGCCAGGGCCCTCTGCTGGACACTTAGAAGTCTGTGCTGACCTCATACATCATGTCCTCCATCACACCCCTTCTCAGGCTCCAAGGACAGACTGAACAGCCCTCAAAGGGACCCGCTCCAATCACTGGTACCAGGGAAATGAGGTTTGCTAAGTGGTGTCGAGGCAGACTATAACTGGAGCGTAATTCTTCAATTCTAAGGCAGATCCCGAATGATAGGCCAGGCATGGTGGCTATTCCTGTAATCCCAGCATTTGGGAGGTTGAGAAAGAAAGACAGGAGTTCAAGGTTACCTTAAGCTACATAGCAAGATCCTGTTTTTGTTTTATTAAAAAGAAAAAGTGCCAAGATGAAAACAGAAGAGTAATTGCTGAAACTATAAGATACTTAGTTAGGTGTGCCACTCAGATGGGTTCTTTTTTTGTTCCTATGATTTCTTATTTTCATTCAATGTGAATTTGTATTTTTCCTGCATTTATGTCTGTGTGACGGTGTTGGATACCTGGTGCTGAAGTCACAGACAGTTGTGAGGCACCTGTGGGTGATGGGAATTGAACTTGGGTCCACTGGAAGAACAGCCAGTACTCTTAACTGCTGAGCCATCTCTCTAGCCCTATTTTGAACATTCTTAACTGAAAGATAAATGTTTGAACTAATAACATACTAATTTACCATGCAGTATCATACTGTGAAACATACATACACACAGGTGGTTCTTCTTAGGGGTTAATTTTGTTTTGTTTTGTTTGTTTTTCAAGACAGGGTTTCTCCCTTTTTTATATATACATTTTTTATTGATATTTATTGACTTCTACATTTTTCTCTGCTCTCCTCCCTGCCTCTCCCCTCCCCCCTCCAACCCTCCCCCCAAGGTCCGAGACAGGGTTTCTCTATAGCTTTTTAGAGCCTGTTCTGGAACTAGCTCTTGTAGACCAGGCTGGCCTCGAATTCACAGAGATCAGCCTGCCTCTGCCTCCTGAGTGCTGGAATTAAAGGTGTATTCCACCACCGCCCAGCAAAGGGTTAATTTTTAAAATTGTTTTTATTGAGCTATATGTAATAACATATTTTGAGAAGTGCTGCTGTGATCCATTTCCTGGATTCCAAATATGAAGTTTGTGGTTGTTAACTGATGACTATGTATTTGACCCAAAGCAGACAGGCTCACAGCTGGGTCTGACTCCATAGCCTTTCAACTCAATGCTGGTCTCAGCAGTCAAGAGCCCACTTCTTGCCTCCTAGCCACACAAACTTAAAACACCACATCCTGGCATGGGGCATGACTTAGTGGTAGTATTTGCCCAGCAGTTTTGATGCTCTGGGTTCCATCCCAGTACTGGACCCACAATATAATAAACAAAATAAAGGGCTGGGGAGATGGCTCAGTGGTTAAAAGCACTGCCTGCTTTTCCAAAGGTTCTGAGTTCAATTCCCAGCAACCACATGGTGGCTCACAACCATCTGTAATGAGGTCTGCTGCCCTCTTCTGGCCTGCAGACAGAATATTGTATACATAATAAATAAATAAATGAATGAAAAAAAAAAACAAAATAAAATAAAAATTATGGAAGTCGTTAAAAGTGCAAAAATTCAGGCCTGGCTCCATAGCTACTGAGAAACCCTGTCTTGAAAAAAAGTGCAAAAGACCAAGAATTTTCAAATACGAAAAGGAAATAAATATTGAAAATGAATAACTACACCTCTGACGCGATAGGTATAGGAAAGGCAGGGTCAAGGTCAGAGGAGCCTGGGGCCATCTGGAAGGTCAGAAGTTCTGCAAAGCAAGATGACATTTGAGCAAAGCCTTAAAGGCTTCCGGAAGAAGGTTGGAAGGATGCTCCAGGCAGAAGATATAGCACACGTAATGGTGTGTGTGTGTGTGTGTGTGTGTGTGTGTGTGTGTGTGTGTGAAAGTAGGCGATATTCCTGCCAAAGAGCAATAATGTGCAGGAGGCTGGGGAGCTAGGGAAATGAGGACGAGATGAGGGCATTGGGTTTGAAGCAAGAGGCCAGCAGATGAAGGAGCAAGAAGGCTTTTGTTTTTTGTTTTTCTTTTTGTTTGTTTGTTTTTTGTTGTTGTTGTTGTTTCGAGACAGGGTTTCTTTGTGGCTTTGGAGCCTGTCCTGGAACTAGCTCTGTAGACCAGGCTGGTCTCGAACTCACAGAGATCTGCCTGCCTCTGCCTCCCGAGTGCTGGGATTAAAGGCGTGTGCCACCATCACCCGGCTTGCAAGAAGGCTTTTGTATGCTAGACCAGGAGTTAAGATGTTATTCCAAAGACAAGGGAGAATATTACATGTTGAAACACAAGGGAGCAGTGACTGGACCAAGTTTCTTTAGTGGGGTCAAGGATGGGCAGTGGGCAGTGAAGAGCCAGCAACACTGAGGGGTCAGGCTGCAGGAATGTGGAAAAGTTGAGGGTGAATGGATGGACTCTGCCCACCCATTGCTGCAGGACAGAGGTAGGAGCAGGGACACTAGACGCTGCTGTGTACAGGTGGAAATCTGTATGCCAAGGGTCACTGGGATGGAGATTCAGGGAGATGGTACTGTAGCTAAGGAGAGAAAAGGCCAAAGCAAACAGGAGCCAGGGCTGGCTGGGAGCTATTTACACAGTCCTCTGGCAGCGTCCCTCAGCACTCCCACCAAGACTGTCAATCTGGAAGCGGCTTTCCCAGAGAACTTCCTGACCAGGATCCTTGCCACCCTACCCAATAGGTCCCAACATGCTGTGTAAAACTAGGAGTCCCAGGAGAAAAAAAAAAAAAAGACAGAAGGAGGAGGAGTCAGAGAGAAAGAAGCAATCATCCTCTGCTGAGGAGTCAGGGGCAGCTGCCAGTGCGCTGTTTGGAGTCTAGCGTGTCAGCCAGAATTTAACTTTGTCACCACCACAACCCAGACCATGTCACCAGAGAGAGGAAGCTGGGACTCCACATCCTGTGTCCTCAGGAAGCTTAGGAGAAGTGCCAAGACCCACCCTGAGCCCCACATGCTCCTCTGTGCACAGCACCAGGGTCTTCTAATCCTCCTGGAGCTGGAGAGCCGCAGCAAGCACCTGCCCCAGAGTCTTTTTTTTTTTTTTTTTAATGTATACAATATTCTTTCTGCCTGTATGCCTGAAGGCCAGAAGAGGGCACCAGACCTCATTACAGATGGTTGTGAGCCACCATATGGTTGCTGGGAATTGAACTCAGGACCTTTGGAAAGCAATGCTCTTAACCACTGAGCCATCTCTCCGCCCCCCCCCCAGTCTTTTTTTACTTTCCCCACCTTCCGCACTCCTGAGACAGAAACCCACCACCTTATGTTGTCGCTAGTTGGGTACAGAGGAGTCATCACTGTGTGTGCTGAGCGTTCACCAAGCACCAGGCTCTGTCCTAGACACTCAGAATGACCGCAGACTTGGGGAAACCTGTTCAGGGACACGCAGCTAGTAAGGGGCTGCAGAGATCTGAGGGAGGTCTGTGTGACACCCAAGGCTAAGCCCTCACCTGCTCCTTTGTAGTTTGCAGAGCTGAGACAGTGAAGAGCTAAGGGATAACCTACACCAACCCCCTTACTGTTCAGAAGTGAAGACTGAAGGCCTGAGAGTCGGCTCCTGAGTCGACAGACTCAGCGGACAGACTCAGCGAGCGCACCGCTACTTTCGCTGCACCGCTACTGGGGGATCCTCAGTTGCTTCCCAGGCAGCTAGCAGAACTGTCTGGATCTTAACACAGACGGAACGAAGCCTAGGTCTCCGCTCACACATATGGCCCGTCCCACGCCACACTGTGTTTGCACATGCTAGGCACTCCATGAACCCTGAGGGACCGGGAAGATGGCTCAGTGGGCAAGAGCCCTTACTGTGCAAGCGCAGGAACCTGAGTTCAATCCCAGCACCATAAAAAGCCTGGGTGTGTTGGGGGCTGGAGAAATGCTCAGTGGGTAAGGGTACTTGTTCTTGCAAAGGACCTGGTTCAATTCCTGGAACCCACATAATGGCCCACAACCATCTGCAACCCCAGTTTTAGGGGACCCAACAGGCACGCACACACACACACACATGTAGTATACACACACACACACACACACATATATATATATATTCAAGCAAAGAATTTATACACAGAGTAAATAAATAAATCTTAAAAAAAAACTTTTAATCAGTGGCTGCATACAAAGGAATAAGGAAGAGTAATGCAGAGGACACACTATAGCTTTCTCCGGTCTGTGTATACTGACTTTCACACACTAGTGTGCACACACATGTGCACGTGCGCTTGCACACACACACACACACACACTTCAAATGCCTAAAATGGCACGCCACCCCCTTGCTGGTCTCCGTTAGGATAGTTGGAATGCCAGAGGCCACTAGGTGGAACCAAACGTTCAGAGTTGGAGGCTAAGTCCAGTCTCAGGCCTTAGTCTTCTCCTGTCCAGACTCTTAGCCGTTCTACACTATCCAAACCCAGCCGGACAGCCTTTGTGAGCTGCCTGCAGATGTGGTCCAGAGAGAGAAGATGGTGCAGTGTGCTCATTGTCCCCACTGCTCCTGAGGGTCCACCTACCGGCAAAGTGCTTTTTGCTCAACCATTGGCTGCATCTGCTTCACAAGACTCCTGCTTCTGGACTGGGCGGAGGAGCACTCGTTTGGAGAACCCCAGGCAGGCGCTGAAGAGTTTCCACTCCTGGGAATGTCACCCCCTAGAGTGTCCATGAGCATGGGAATTCCCCATGCTTCCACCTGGGAGTTTCCCGACTGATGGCTAAAGACACGATACTTGGGTGAGAGGGAGTGAGAAAGAGGCTGGAGCTGTCCCTGGCAATAAGGTGGGTGAGGGCGCCTCCCCGAGGAAAATAATCCAAGCCCATATTTCACTGAGCAAACACCCTTAGCCTGCA